TTGTCTCTTTCTCATGTTGCTTTTGATTCTCCTCAAGAACAAAAGTCCTTTTTCTTGTCTGAGGCGCAGCAGCTCAGCGCCGTGCTGCGCCAAACCCTTGCTGCTGTGGGGCCAGCAGCCAGCAGCAGCAGCAGCAGCAGCAGCGGCGGCGGCGGCAGCAGCAGCAGCAGCAGCAGCAGCAGCGGCGGCGGCGGCGGCGGCGGCGGCAGCGGGTGCAGCAGCCCGCCGAACAGCAACGCAGCAGAGCAAGCAGCAGCAGAGGGAACTGCAGCGGAGGAAGCAGCAGCTGGCGAAAACCCAGCAGCAGTAGAAGCAGCAGCAGCAGCAGAGGGAACAGCAGCGGAAACAGCAGAAGCAGCAGCAGAGGAACTGGAGGCATCAACAGAAGACCAAGCAGCAGCAGCAGCAACAGCGGCAGCAGAGGGACCAGTAGCAGCAGCAGAAGACGAAGCAGCAGGTGTAGCAGAGGGAGCAGCAGCAACAACAGAGGGAACAGCAGCAGGTGCTGCAGAGGGAACAGCAGCAGCAGCAGCAGCAGAGGAGGGAACAGGAGAGGCAGAAGAAGCAGCAGCAGCAGATGAAGGAGCAGCGGCAGCAGCCGATGAATCAATAGGAGCAACAGCCGCTAATGAAGCGGCAGCAGAAGCAGCAGCAGCAAATAAATCAACAGCAGCAGCAGCAGCAGCAGCAGGGGACTTCGTGTCTCGCAGCTTTTTGATCCTTGATGAGCCCTGCAAGGGAACGGCGCCGAGCTGCGGAGCAGGTCCAAATAAATAAATACATAAATTAATAGATAAATTAATAAATAAATAAATAAATAAATAAATAAATAACAAATTAATTGATCAATAACAATAAATATAATTTGAAGGAGAAAGAAGGAAGCAAAACCAAGATATGAATATTCATAAAGCTGCTGCTGCTGCTGCTGCTGCTGCTGCTTTCTTTGATGGCATTAACAGGCAAAGAACCCATTCAATTTGGACTATTTATTTATTTGTCATAAATTAATTATTATTTATTTATTTATTTATTTATTTATTTATTTATCTATTTATTCTTTTGTTTATTTGCTGCAGCGCTGCTGGGGGCGCTGCTGGAGCGGCTGGCAGCTGTGAGGGCGCAGGGAATTGTATCAACACATTTGCACCGGGAGCTGCAGCAGCTGCTGCTGCTGCAGCAGCAGCAGCCTGCTGCTGCTGCACCTGCTGCTGCACCTGCTGCTGCACCTGCTGCTGCTGCTGCTGCTGCTGGTGCTCTCACTTTTAAGCAGGTCAGGAGACGCCGCGCTGCAGCAGACACGGCGCTCTGCGACGCAGACAGACAGCGGCTTGGTGGCTGCCAGCAGCAGCAGCAGCAGCAGCAGCAGCAGCAGCAGGTCGGAAGATCGCAAGAAGGCTTCACAGCCAGCTCGGACTCGCTGGCAGCTGATCCAGCAGCAGCAGCAGCAGCAGCAGCAGAGGCAGCAGCAGCAGCAGACGAATACAAATATGAATTAATCGACGGAGTCTGCACTTATTCAAATGCTCTTCAAGCAGCAGCAGCAGCAGGTTTCCCACAAGACATCATAAACAGGGCCCGTGTGCTGCGGCAGCAACTGACGAACGTGCAGCAGCAGCAGCAGCAGTTGCTGCTGCAGCAAGTGCAGCAGCAACGAGAGCAGCAGCAGCAGCGAGGGCAGCAGGCGCAGTCAGAGAACGAGGACGCGCAGAATGAGCGGCAGCAGCAGCAAGAGCAGCAGCAGCAGGAGCCCCAGCAGCAAGACCAGCTGCAGCAGGGCAGTGCAGCAACAGCAGCAGCAGCAGCTTCCGAGGTTTCCAACGCTCGCGTTGCTGCTGCTGCTCAATTCCAGCGAAAGGTGGAGGCCCTGACGCAGCTGCTGCGCCGAACAGCAGCAGAAACCAGCAGCAGCAGCAGCAGCAGCAGCAGCTCCTTTCCCGTGGTTTCTTTGCCTGCGTTTCCTCCGCAGCTGCTGCCTCCCCCCGCGTTTTCTGGGGCTGCATGCGTTTTGCTGCTGGTGGCAGCAGCAAGGAGTTCGCAGAAGCAGCAGCAGCAGCAGCAGCAGGTGCTGCGGCCTGTCTGTACACCCGACGGGGGGGAAGTGTGGGGCCCCACAGGCTGCTTTCGGGTGTACGTGGGAGCAACAGCAAACATCAGCAGCAGTTTGTTGCGGCTGAAGCAAAACCCTCACTTTGCTGCTGCTGCTGCTGCAGTGCTGCTGGCAGCAGATGTGGCCCACGCCCGGAAGACGCAGCAGCAGCTCAAAGCAGCACTTAAAAGAGACCCTTCTGTGGCTCTTCTCCCCAACAGACACAAACCCTAAACTCTAAACCCTAAACCCTAAACCCTTATTCCTGAGCAGCAGCTCGCATAAGAAAGCCTTCTGCGGCTTTTCTTCTCAGCAGACACAAACCCTAAACCCTAAACCCTAAACAGCAGCTCTAGGGAGAGATCTTTTCTGCCTTTTCCCTTCAACTGACGCAAACCCTAAACCCTAAACCCTAAACCCTAGAGAGCGGGAAACGCAAACCCTCAAGGCCCCGGGAAACGCCTGTTGTGCTACACCTCGTGCATGCGTTTAGAGCGTGCAGATAGAATAAAAATGAATTTAAATTTAAATTTAAATTTAAATTATAATTTATTTTATGTTATTTTATTTGAAGAAATAAACCCTCTTTTGCTTTTTTACTTTTTTATTTTGCCGCTAAACCCTCGTGCTCCAGTTTTAAATAAAAAACCCCAAAACCCTTAAAAAGCGAGGGTTTAGGGTTTACGGGCCTAGGGTTTAGGGTTTACGTTAGGGTCTAGGGTTTGGCGAAGCGTTAGAGTTTAGAGAAGGGTCTAGGGTTTACGGAAGGGTCTAGGGTTTAGAGTTTACTAAAGGGCTAGGGTTTAGGGTTTACTAAAGGGTCTAGGGTTTACAGAAGGGTCTGGGGTTTAGAAGAGGGTTTAGGGTTCACGCGAGGGTTTAGGGTTTACAGGAGGGTTTTTATCTCATCCCTGTTTCCTTCGGATACAGCTGTATATTATTTATTTCATTGCTCATTGCTGCTGCTGCCGCTAGTGCTGCTGCTGCTGCTGCTATTGCTGCTGCTTCTGCTGCTGCTGCTAGTGCTGCTGCTAGCGTTGTTGCTGCTGCTGCTGCTGCTGCTGTTGCATGGCGTGTACGTACACCGGAGGAAAGCGAATGTGGAAGCGGAAAACTAAAAAGCAAATCCTAAACAACTAAATAAATAAATAAATAATAAATAATAAATAAATAAATAAATAAATAAATAAATCATAAATGATAAATGATTGAATAAATGGTAAAGAGGTCTCGCTGCGATTTCTGCTGCTGGGGGCATCAGCAGCCACGGCTGGGAAGCAGCAAAATGGGATTTTGGAAATAAATAAATAAATAAATAAATAAATATAATTAAATATAATTAAATATAATTAAATATAATTAAGTATAATTAATTACAATTAAATACAATTAATTATAATTAAATACAATTAATTACAATTAAATATAAATAATTACAGTTAAATATAATTAATTACAACTAAATACAATCAAATACAATTAAAATGCTAATTAATTGCAATTAAGTACAATTAAAAGATAACTAAATAGAAATAAATACAAACCAACTAAATACAATTAAATACATTGCAATTAAATACATTCAAATACAATTAAATACAATCAAATACAATTAAACACCAACTGAATGCAATTAAATGCAATTTAATGCAATTAATTGCAAATGAATACCAATTAAATGCAATTAATCGCAATTAAATGCAATTAATTGCATTTAAATGCAATTAATAGTATTTAAATGCAAATAATTGCATTTGATTGCAATTAATTGCAATCAAATGAAGAATTAAAAAGGAAAAAGAAAAAAATAAAGAAGAAGAAGAAAGAAATTGGCGGACAGCAGCAAACAACAAACTTGCTTCTGCGGGTTGCATGCAAAAGAAGACTTTTTGGGAATTATTTGGAAGCTTTTGAAGAAACAAATGCCATTAAATGCAAATAAATGCAATTTAATGCCATCAAATGCAATTAAATGCAATTAAAAATGCAATTAAATGCAATTTAATGCCATTAAATGCAATTAAATGCAATTAAAAATGCAATTAAATGCAATTTAATGCCATTAAATGCAATTAAATGCAATTAAATGCAATTAAATGCCATTAATTGCAATTAAAATGCCATCAATTGCCACTAATTGCCATGAAATGCCATTAGTTGCCATTAATTGCATTAATTGCCATTAAATGGCATTAATGGCATTAATGGCATGGAGTGGCATTTGAGAAGCAGCAAAGTTTGGAAAGTGGATGGAAATGGATTTAATTTGAAATGTTGAAATTCCCAAAAAGCGGATTTTTCTTTTGCAGCTTCTACACACGTGGAGTGTACGTACACTCCAGAACTGCGTGACACTTGGCAGCTGAACTACTTGGGCATGTAATTTGCCTTTTAGACTTTTGTTTTATTATTTCGAATGAAATCTATTTTATTAAACCTATTTTATTAAATCTATTTTATTAAATCTATTTTCATTTATCTCTAGCTTTCGAAGTTGCACTAGTTCGTCTTTCTAAACAAGTCCGCATTCACTCTCCATGTTCGCCTGGACACTGCAGCAGCAGCAGCAGCAGCAGCAGCAGCAGCAGCGCAGCAAGGGGGCAGCATGCACGGAAATGGAGACGCAGGAGGAATGGACGATGAATGGAGCAAAAATATAAATTGCATGCAATGTAATTGGGGGCTAAATGTAATTAAAATGTCGAATCAAATTAAAGAGTGCCGCTGGCAACGGGCAGATGGACTGGAGCGAAGACAGCTGAGCGCCAAGAAGCAGCAGGAGGGCGGTTGGACTTGAAACACGGCACAAATGGAGTGAATTGGAGGAACGCAAAGAACTAAGGGCAACTGAATGCAACTGGACGCACTGTAATGGAATTAAATTCAACTTTTGGGGGAAAAAGGAACTTGTGCAGACCGGTGGCTGCTGCAGCAGGCAGCTGTCGATACACCCCGCGGCGCGTGCGCAGCGCGGCGTCGAGTCCGCGGGAACCGCTTCAATTTTGGGTCGCTTTTGGAGTTTGGAATTGCATTTGGAGTTTTTCGCCCGGAGAAAAGGGTTTGGAGGGCGGCGGCGGCGCTGGGGGCGTCAGAGGGGGCGGGGCGGCGGGCGGGCGGCGGCGGGGGTCGGCGGCGGCGATCTCGGGCGTTTCGCGGGGAAACTCGGAACTTTTTGGCGCCAGGAAGCGGGAAACTGCAAAAGAAAGGCGCCCGCGAAGTTGGGGAGCGAAAGCACTGCGGGAAGCGCGGGATCAGAACTTGCGGGTGGGGCGGCGGCAGTCGACGAAGGGAATGCAGGCCGCCAAGCTGCCTATACACTCCAGCAGCGCGCGCGACCAAGACCCGCCCCGCGGCTCCACAAAGAGAAAAGTAAGTGCAGCAGCAGCAAAGGAAGGCGCAGCAGCACAAAGCATAGCAGCAGGAAGGCCCCAGTTGGCGAGAGCCGCCTTGATCAGGTAGATTCCCGCGACGGCGCCGAGCTTGCCCATGGCAGCAGAAAGGCCCGCGTAGGTGGCCCGCACTGCAGCAGGAAAAACCACAGAAGGGAGTATAAAGGTGGTGATGCTGGCGCCCCAGTTGATGAAGAAGTTGACTGCGGCCAGCAGCGCGAGGAGGCCCCAGCCGTGGGCGGCGGCTGCTGCTGCTGCTGCTGCTGCTGCTGCTGCTGCGGCCAGCGCCAGCGAAGACAGCCCCAGGAAAAAGAAGCCCCAGAACTGCAGCCACTTCACGCCCATCTGCCGCAGCACCAAAATGCCCATGTAGCAGCCGGGAAAGCCCACGAGGTTCAAAACGATGTTCTGGAAGATCACCGCGTTCACGCTGCTGCTGCTGCTGCTGCTGCTGCTGCTGCTGCTGCTGGGGCCCCACAGGTGCTGCGTGAGCTCCGGCTGCACCAGCAGCACGCCGTAGGCCGTGACGTCGTAGAGAAACCAACAAACTCCAGTGCCGAGGAGCTGCTGCAGGTGGCTCTTGTCCCTGAAGGCCGCAGCGAAGCGGCGCGTGCGCTCCCTGCTGCTGCTGCTGCTGCTGCTGCTGCTGCTGCTGCTGCGCTGCTGGCAGCAGGCGTGCAGCCAGACGCAGAGCGCCGGCAGCGCGCCGAAGGCCAGCAAAGCCCTGAAAGTCACCTCCGGGTTTTGCTTCGAAAGCTTCCAAAAAAGAAGAGACAAAAGATAGGGAAAAAGAATGCCGGGGACGTTCATGGAGTAGGCGAAGGAGACGCGGAGGCAGCGGTGGCTGCGTTTGCTGCTGCTGCTGCTCTCCGCAGCAGCAACAGCACTCAGCGGGTACACCCCGCCGGCCCCCACGCCCAGCAAGAAGCGAAAAAGGCCCAGCAGACTCAGGAAGCAAAAGGGGGGCCCCCAGGTCAAAAAGCTGCTGCCGAGGGCCCCCAGCGAGATCAGCAGCAGCGTCAGCAGCAGCGCGGGGCCCCTCCCTGCTGCGTCGCCCAGGAAGCCCATGAGGCTCATGCCTGCAATGGCCCCTGCGTAGGACAGCATTTTCAGGCTGCTGCTGCTGCTGCTGCTGCGCAGCAGCAGCAGCGCGAACCGCGGGTCTTGCTGCAGCACGAACAGCGCTATCGACGTCACCACGAAGTTGTAGTTGCTGCTGAACACCGCGATGCACGGCACCAGCAGCGACTCCTTCCGCCCCTCCTCCTCTTCTCCCGCTGCTGCTGCTGCTGCTGCTGCTGCTGCTGCTGCTGCTGCTGCTGCTGCGGAAGAGGAGGGCGGGGCCGCCGCCGCGGACGCAGAGGCCGACTCTCCTGCTGCCGACAGACACGGCAGCACGCACGACACCCCGCACGCAGGCGCTGCAGCA